CGGCTCCCCACTGGGGAGTTCCCATTTTATCTGCAGGTCGTGGGGGAGTCAGCAGAATTTCAGGTGGCTCAGGCGACATGCGGGTCACAGAAAGCCCCCCCCCGCAGCCTGGCCAGCTGGTGTGAGGTTGTTGGCTGTGAGCCTCGGCTTGCCCACGCCTGCCACCTGGCCTTCCTCAGGGCGCCCTCTTTTCGGCCCACCAATCCATTCTGTCTCCTCCGCACAGCCCCTGCAACGCCTCCCACGGCCCTCCTCCCATTCCACTTCCCTCTGCGGGGACAGGGACAGGGAAGTCAAGTCGCGCAGCTTCTCATCACCAGGCTCCTGGGCTCAGTTCACAGCGTGACCTCTTCGCCGCATAGGTCTCTTGGCCATCCCCGAGTGTACTCTTCCCATGGATGGCTTCGGCTTCTCAGGTCGTGCCTCTGAGCCACATCTTGGCAGTCGCTGCTTTCTTGTGGCCTCACTGAACTCTGGATTCCCCTCCGTTCCCACAGGCCCACCACCTTTGCCATTAACCATTACCTTTTTTCCCTTGGTGCTGGGGATTGAACCCAGGGCCATCACACCCGCCAGGCAAGCACTGTACTACTGAGCTACACCCTCAACCCTCTTTTTTTCATTTTGAGACCGGGTGTCATTTCATTGACCAGGCAGGCTGGCTTCAAACTTGGATTCTCCTGCCTCAGCCTCCCAAGCAGTTGGGACCATAGGCAGGCACCACTGTATGACTGGGGCTTTCTCCTGCGCATTGCGCTCCCAAGGGCCCCCGAGGCCTTTTAGTATGGCTGGCAGGGTTTCCTGGCCACCTCAAGACTGGTCCTCCAATGTACCGGCCAGCACCTGAACCCCTAGGACAGTAGTGGTGAACGTATGGCATCGTGTCTGTGCCACAGCTGGCTGTTCGTTCTCATTGAAAGCTCTAAAAGGTTCACAACCCCCGGCCCACAAGATGTTCTGGGATATGCCTAACCACCTAACCGGCTGGCTGGCCCAGTCCCTGTCCCCTGCCATGGGCCACTGAAGCCAGGGTGGGGGAAGCTTCCTCTCCAGCTGCTGCCTCCTTCCTTCTGTGTCTTGTGTGGCCACAGGTCCCCTCCTGACAAGTCCCTCTGGCCCTATGGATCCTCGCTGCAAGGGGCTTCCCTGCCCACCATAAGCCTGTCCTCTTCCTTGGGGACTTACAGCTTTTTCTGGAACAAGGTCTGCCCAGTACCTGGGACAGACTGCCAATGGCCGTGGCCACAGCGGCCACTGTCAGGTAGGAGGCCAGCCATGCCATGTGCCCCGGTGGCTTCTCAGGAGAGCCCTCATCACCATGTGCCAACTCCAGGGTCAGCGGTGGTCACGGGGCAAGGCTGTGGTCCTCCTCCTGCTCTGGGGACAGGCCTGACACACTGCACCCACTCACTGGGGATCTGAGTTGTCAGCTCTTTCTCTTCACATTCCAGGCCAGGGGCTTTCAGGTGTGCTACAGCTGCATGCCCCATGCTCGTGCCCTGTCATGTTGCCTGGCACCAGCCTAAGGACAGCCATGGTCCTGGAGAGTGTACGCCCTTATGGGAAACCAGTGGCAGCAGGGCTCTCTAGGCAGCCTCTCAGTGCGCCCTTGCCGGGCAGCCACCCATGGAAATCTCCAGTGAGTCGGGAGGGGAGGCAGTCCTGTGGGCGGCCCCTGTGTTGGTGCTGTCCTGGCTCCCCTGGGCTGGAGGGCACTGCTGACTTACAATGAAAGCCCAGACCTTGAGTCACTTTCACAGAGAGGTTTATCGAGAATGCTAACAGCACAGGATACAGTACTTCCCAACAAAAGGTGCAAACGCGTCACTTAGAAAGGCATGCTGAGTATTCTTTGCTTCACATGTATTAAAAAACTTACAAAAATAAAATAAAACTGCGTGCTGCCCATCTTTTCAAATAGTAAAAGAACCTTATGAAAAAACCACTTGATTTTACAACAAAAGACACAAACGGACATTTTTATGTAAATTTATAAGGCAAACTCTTTATATAATAAATAGGTTACAGGGGGTTCGGTGGGGGGTGTTTTTGAAACGTATACAGGTACATTCAGACAGGTTTACTGAAATGGTACAAATTTCCTTAATAAATTGCCTTTTGTTTTTAAATATATCAGTGCTTTCAGTCATTTGGCTATACACAAAGAACCTTTTTTGAACACTACAAAAAAGCAATCAATATTTTTGTTTTTAAAACAACCTACTTATTTTCTAAAGTAATTGTCCCAAAACACAAAAACTGAAGGTGAATGCGACAGAGGGCTTTTCAGAGACCCCTCCAGCTAAGTCTGCCCCAGGCCTGTTCCTGTGCCCCATGGACCCCTCTGGCGTCAGGTGGCAGCAGTCCGTCTTGTTGATCTTGGCCTGCAGGATGGCACAGGGGACTGGGACTTGGACTCGGAGGGGGACACCTGCCTGGTTCTGGCTGCTAAGCTCCACGTGCAAAGGTCACTCCAGTCTCACTGTCCCTGCCTGAAAGCGAGCCCAGAATAACTAACAGTGTCAACCAAGAAAGCTCCACTCGGCCGGCCTCGCTTTGGGGAGTGAAAGGGTTTGTTAGCTCAGGTCTGAATCTCTGAGGACTGAACTACTGGCACTGGCTCACTCCAGCACAGTGGGGAGTAGTGAGGTCACATCAGGGAGGGGGTGACAGAAGTCCTGGAGGCCAAGGATGCCCTGAGCCAAGAACAGGCCCAGCCCAGCTGTGTCCAGGAGCTGCAGCTGCGACAGGCAGGGCATGGCCAAGCCTCCTCCGACAGTCCCACCTGTGACTGTGACCTGCTGGGCTGGCCCCTCCTCCCTCCCTCCCTGGTTCTCCAGGAAGGAGCATCAATCTTGTCTTTACTTATAGATAAGGATGCTAATAAGTAGGGCTGGGGAGGGGGCATGGCCGTGGAGAGAATCCACCCCGTGGAACAAAAGCTGCTTGTGCTCGGCCTCTGCAAATGGCGATCTGTCAGCCTACCCAACTGCGGGCGGTCTCAGGCCCATCTGGCAGGGTCATCGCTTTGATCGCCCTTCCCTTCGGGTCTCAGTCACCACGTCCCCCTCCCTCCGAAAGCTCTGCTTGGAAAGAAAAGGCATCTGAAGCATTTGTCTCTGGAACAATTACTTTAAACATGGTTACAATACAGACTTCAGTTCAAACACAGAAGAGATTTACTTAGCAAAGTTCCTTTCACCCACCAAAAATTACACAAATAGAAGCCTCCACACCACAGTTAAGAGGACCAGTAGAGAAAACCTTCATGTTTGGAACACAAAAGGAGAAATAAAAACCAAACCAAACCCAAACAGAGAAACCCCAGAGAGACAACGGGGGGCGGGAAGGCAGGGGAGGAGGAGAAAACACGGCACACATTACAGTGTCCAGGTACGCGGAGCCCTCAAGGGAGGGCTCGGCACGATTGATAACAGTCCTGGTGATATTTGGTCATATATTCAACTAGTGACTCTGGAGCGGCTGTTGTGAGAGATCGAATGGAAAGGAGGCCGCGCGGTAGTGGGGAAGGAGCAGGCTCCGAGAGTGTGCAGCCTTCGCACTCCACCGTCCAGCTCCCAGGAGCCCTGCTCCATCCGGCCGATGGCCATCGGCCATGGGTCATCAGGGTCGCTAACTGGAACTCCTCGGGATGCACAGCACACATGCGGACACCAACTGTCGGTGGCTGCTGGACGGCGCCGGGCTCCACTTCCTCTGCCCCTCCCAGGTAGGCTGGGAGACAACTGTGCTGCCCCGTAATACTGAGCCTGGGGAGCAGCCCGGCCCTGGGACCCCAGGGGCTGCCCCAGCCCATGTCCTCGGGCCTGTGACCCACTGTTGGATTCTGGCCTCAGAATCATGATGCAGAGGGGGAAGATTTTGGCCCTGGTGATTATAATGCTCTCTGCTTTGGAAGAACGTTTCTGGATTTTTTTTTTTTTGGTGTTCTTAATGACTTAAAAAGTGATCAAAAAGAACTGTTACAGCTAACCTTTCTAGCAGATATTGCTCATTAAGGGTTACAAAAGCAAACACAATTACTCATGAGAGGGGGAGAATAGAAAGGGACGTTGCTGGAGTCTTCGCTACTTTCCAGAGGACCCCTGGCCTGTCTCACATGGCCCCGGGCTCCCTGACCTCCCTCTCCCCTTCAGCCCCCAGGCTCAAGTCACTGGGTGGGGAGCCTTCCCCTCCGCTGCTGCTCAGCATGGAGAAGCCCTCAGGAGGAGGGGGAAAGACCACAGAGCTGCTTGGACCCAAGAACCGACCAGCAGACAGATTTGTCATTTTTTAAAAATTTTCCCTTGTCCTATGCTATGGTTATCAGAAATATTGTAATTAAGCAACAGGTATAATTTTAACAGGTCTTTTTTGTGTGGAGCCACAAGCAAAATGAGTTTATAATTGTGCAATATATATATATAAATTCAACTGCTTTGTGTGTCTAGTTGGTGCATAAAATAAAAGGGACAGGAGAACTCAAAGCAAAACTCAAAGCAAAACAAAAGCCCAGGACAGAGGAGACAAAGCAGGCCTATGCATAATCTCTTAAATTACTGGATAGGATCAGGGTCACCAGGAAGGACAGCTCTGCCACTTGACACAAACACTGCTGGGAGAAGGGTGACCGGTGGCAGGAGCTGAGCCTGTGGCCTTTTGGGTGCATTTCTTCTCACTGCCAAGCAGGAGCAGACAGGCAAGACAGGCAGAATGGGGCAGAGACCCATGGCGGCCGCCTACATGCTCCTGAATTCAGATGCAGGGATCAGGCTGGGGCCTGTCCTCCCTCCCGTCCATGGGGCCCCACCTAGCTCCCTAGACACAACTCTGCTTTCCTGGCCCCAGCAAGGATGGGGCAGAATCTGTCAAGGTGAGAGGGTGGTGGGTGGTCTGGGCCTCAGGGACCACTGGTGAATGTGCCAGCCTTACAAGGCTAACACCCAGCCCCTCCTCCTAGGGACAGGGTCAGAAGCTGTGTCCCCGGCAATGGTGACCCCAGAAGTGACAATGACGAGGCCCTGGTTCCACGCCTCAGGTGCAGGAGGCTTCAGACTCGAGTTCCTTGTGCCAGTCACATTCACCAGATATCTCAGGCCAAGTACTAAGTATTTTTGGATTGGCATTTTTGCAAAAGTTTGCTCTTATTCAGAAACATCAAAATGTAATTTTCTGCCAAGTGTTTTCTAGGTTTTCCTTCTACATTGTTGAGAACTGGTTTCAATGTTCAATTTTCCCCCTTTAATATGTAATTTTAGACCCTGGAGGAGGCAGTATCCTAGCGATTTATAACAATTAGGCCTAAGCCTTTTCTAAAGATTGATACAATATCTAAAAGAGAAAGACATCAAAATGGAGAGAATTAACAAATCCCTTCACGAACAGAGCTGTTCGTGGGTGCAGAGAGCAGGACAGAGAGGAAGAGGACGGAGGGCAGAAGGCTCATCCAGCCCACCCTGTGGCCACTTTCCCCTAGCCCCATGGCCGAAGCTGGGGCCCTGGAGAGCGCACACTCGCTGAGGCCTAGGCCATTGGTCCTGGAATCTGTGGGCGTGAACTGGAGCTGGGAAAAGCAGTGGGGCATGGGCCCAGGCTACGACTGAACCCAGAGGTCTCCCCCAAGAGCCGCCAAGTGCTCAAGGAAAGGGGACATGGAGCTCTGGCTGCTCGGCTCTGCGCAAGCTGAGACACTGACACAGTCCTACCTGGTAGATTCAGTCCATACTCTCTGGCTCTCTCCTGGGCTGGAGCCACTTAGTAAAAGTTACTTAAAATTCAGAGGTCCTGCCAGCTAAAGAAACTTTTCCCACTAAACCTGGCAGTTTGTTCCTGGTCGTTATACTCTTTCATGATCACTGTCACAGTAATGACAAGTTGGGGCTGCTCCAGGTCCCACTTCCAATGTTGGTGGCCCCTGGCAGACTCACCCACACCCATACCCATATCAGGGTGCTGGCTTTCACCGTCCCAAGCTGAGAGGCTGGGCTCCTTGGCTAGTTTGGCACTGATGGACTGGGACAGGTGGCATTTCCAGGTGTCCCCTGTGCCTTCTGATACAAGAATACAGCGCCTCAGTAGGGGCTGTACTAGGCTATGGCCCAGTAACCCAGCTCACCACACAGTCAAGGCTGGCTTCTCACTGGCTGTGTCAGAGCCACCAATGTGAAGGGCTGGGCCAGGCCCGGGCAGGCATACCTGGGAGGACAGTCCGTGGGGAGAGGAGGTAGTAACTAAGGACTAATGGGGTGGGGGACTGTGGGTGTGTCCTTAATGACATTGCCCCAGGGTATTTGAAAGCTGACAGAGTCACTGAAAGGTGCCCCCAGTCTTCATAGTGCTCAAGTACAGACAGAATCGAGGTCACACCCCAAAACTGGGCCGGACACAGCTGGTGAGAATCCCGTGATTTAAGGCTTTCCCTCCAACCTCCTGTCACCCTGACCCCATGGCAGGGGCCTGGGAGCGGCAGGGCCCTGCCTGCGAGGGCCACAGACCGCCAAAGCTGCCTGCCGAAAGGCGACCAACTCATCCTTTACATGGGGTTAAGAGGCGACGGGGCAGAGGGGCACAGAGGAAACCCTATGGAGCTGCAGGCACTGCCTGTGGTTTTAGAACCAACTCTAAGGGAGAGAAATGGGAAGCAGGGGGCTACAGGCGGGGACCAAATGAAAGAAAACGACACCGAAACGCCCAGAGGCCCAGACTCGGGGCCCACACTCCTCTTCCCAGAACCACATTCCACCAGATTGGGCAGAATGGTGCAAGCCAACCCCGCTGACCACGACAGACATCTTCTCAACGACAACCTGGCTGGGTGCCACGCCTGTGTGAGTAGGCGTCCTTTGGGGGTGCCGGGAGTGCAAGGCCACCGTGGGGCCGGGGGCCTTTTGTCCTTGGAGGAAGAGGATTTTTGAAGTCCTCATCCCTTCCTATGACCCCACTCCCTTCCTGGGGAGGAGGCAGAGGGAGGCAGAGGAGGATGAACGCAGAGCGGGTGAAGGGGCCAGGCTGGCAGATGGGAGTCGGCTGTCGGCACAAGGAGAGGGACACCGAGGGGCTAAAGTCCGGACTACGGCTATAGAACAGAACGGGTGGACTCCCTCACTCCCAACCATCGCGGAGACAGGAGACAGACATGGGTTATCTGAAGCTACTGATTGGAACTGTCGAGACTAGGGTTCTGATCACTAAGACTGGCAAGGAAGTGCTAGACAGTTTCTATGATGTTTCATCCTTCATGATTACACTGCAGTAAGGAAGCCAGGGGACAAGAACTGAAACACACGAGACAACACGCACTTGACAGTTCATGGCAGCAGCTCACGCAGGCCGTGCCTGTGGGTGTTTCTGGAAGGTAAGACTGCTGTCTCATTTGCTACTTTGATAAGGTACTTCTCAGTTGGACAGATTTAGATATAAGAGACATCTCTGTAAACACAGAAAAGGATATACCAATATGATGAAGATATGCAGCTAGATAAGGACTTCCTGAACACAGGTGAGAACTTTGGGATCCTAAACAGAAATGGACCAAGCCTCTAACCCCATCCCACGCTCACAGGGGAGACTGGAGGAGGGGGTGTCCTGGCCCCACCCTGTCTGCAGCGGGCAAAGCGAGCGACTCTGCGGGAAAGGCCTCAGCAGGGAAAGGGCTAGCAGAGGGGGCCGGAGCCCAGGTGCCAGTCCCAGTCCCGGGTCAGGGCTTATCGCCCGCTGCCCTGCCACACTCTGCTAGCCCTCCTGGGCTCCTCGGTGACTGTGGCAGGCCAGACCCCAGATACCAGATGTGGCCAGCATTCCTTGAGCACAGGGAAGAGGGCACTACCTGAGGAGCAACACGCGCTGCCCTCCCACTCCTCAGAGAGGCCATGGTGGACTCCGTGCGCCCAGGGCGCAGACAGTGAGTGGGGCTGGCAGCGGGGGCAAAGGCTGGGAGGGCTTGGGGGCAGGGGCTGACCCGAGCAGAGCGGCTTGGCATGTGGGTGGGTACTGGGGGCTGCCTGGAGAGAGGATGAGCTAGAAGGCAGGAGGATGGGTGAAATGACAAGGTGAGATGAATGGAAGGCAGAGATGGAAGGGCAGAGGAGAAACCAATCAGGAAGTCCTTATAAAATTGCAGCAAACACTTAGAGTTTCGGAGCTTCGTGGGAACCCTATGTGCTGAGCCCACTTTAAAACAAGCGCAGGTATATACAGATCCAGGTAGTTCGGAACACCATCGCATCTGGTGGCTCGAGGGACAGAGTGTCCCCAGTTCAAGCCAGGCTGCTTTCGGAGCATGTTTGTTTTGAAGTGGGAACAAAAAGACTCAATAGTGCAAATAGTTCTATGCTGTCCCTACAGGAGAACTGGAAAGTAATCAGAAGAACAGTTTCGAGACTCTCCTCCCTGTGCCCCTCAGCCCGTCCCGAAGTCCCTAACTACCAGTCAGGCTACTCTAAGCAACTAGGAATCTCTTGTCCTGTGCCCCCCACCCCCCCGCAGAGCTGGGTCAGCCGGTGCAGTGCGGCCAGCAGCCTGCGCCTGTCCTGGTACTTCCATGGCCCCTCTAGCGCCACCTCCCAAGAACGGGCGACCTCACCTCACCCAGGGCCACCCTCTCCTATGGCTCAGGCCAGTCTACACTCACAGTTCTGGACTCCCTCAGAGCCGCGCTGGAGCCGGAGCAGACAGGTGCCACTTTCTTGTCCCGTGAAATGTCCTTGTCACTTTTGGATTGGGGCTGGTGTGGGGCCAGGCATGTGCCGCCACATGTGGGATGGTGTGGGGATGTGGGCTGCAGCCACCGGCCATCTCCGTCGCCTTCTTTAAAGAATGTGACGGTCTTTCTGCTTCGCCTCCCTGTCCCACTGTGGTTGAGGGTGGGGGAGCTGTGGCACCGTGGGCAGGGCACCGATGGCACCAAATGAGAGTGTCCTCTCGACGGCTGTCCATCCCTAATGTCCCTAACGACTGCAACTGGGTGGGGAAAGGTGGGGTGGGAGGGGAGGTGCCTGGTCAACAGCTTGTCTGGTCAGTAGTATCTGCAGCAAGCCTTGTTGAAGGAGCCTAGTTTAGAAAAGTGCAAAGCTACTTCTGGCCCTGGTTAGGTCTTCAACCTGACTGTGCTTGTCGGTAAGAAAAACATCCCCAATGCTCCAACTACTCCCACCCTGAAGCCACGAAACTCTAAGTTTACTGAAAGAAAAAAAAATATTTTTTATTTCAGTTAATCGGGAAGCTTTGTCAGAGCCCTACCCAGAAGGAGAAGAGACAACAGCTGCCTTTATTCTTGTTGGTTTGCTTTGCAATCCGCGCTGAGTAAAGTCAGCTAACTCTCTCGGTCACGGGCGTCCGGCTGTCCACAGGCTCCTCTCTGTTTGGCCTCGGCATGGAGGATGAAACAATGTCTTTGCGCTCTCCCTCCCCTCGGTGTTTGTACTTTTCTGCCGCTGGGGCCG